AGTTTTTTATTTTTGATAAAAACAAAAATATTTTTCATTTTGCATCTGTCACGAACGCTTTTTAGTTTTTTGGATATGAAAAACGGAAAAGGGTTTTTTAAAAGGTTTATTGGTCTCAATAAACCCTTTTTGATAGTTTATTAATCTACGACTATTTTTTACAGTGCACTGACAAATATCTCGATGGAGTATGTAGTGCCGTAGATTTACTTTGTGTTTTGGCCTAAAGTACGACTTAACAATGCGGTTTTTGAAAGAAATCTGTATTTGACTGTCAATGGATCACATAGTGCTGATAGATATTTTACAACTGTTTCAAAGAGTCGCATGATATCAAGTCAAATAAACTGTAATTTGACTAATAAATATATATATATGTTAGATTGATATATATATGTATAAGATAAATCGTATTCATTTCACGTGCTGTGCATTTATCATTGTTGATTTCTATTTCTTTAAGTTTGTTGTTGACATTTTTCTTTACGACAGATCTCAATAAGTTTGTGACTGAACGAAGTCAGCATCTACTAGATGCCTTGTCACACTTAATACGTATGGTTCGCTTTGTTCTAAATAATTATATCTTGAGTTTATAATTGTTTAAACTTTAAAAAAATGAAGAAAGTAATAGATATTTTTTCTTTCGATTTTAGCATTTATAAAATTAATTAAATGTCGTTTATAATTCGTTTGCAAAATCTTGCATGGGAAGCACGTTCTCAAGATATTCGAAAGTATTTTGTTGGCCTACAAATTCCCGATGGTGGTGTTCATATTGGTAATAGGACAAAAGCATGGAAAAAAAATTTATGTCTATCTTTTTATCGCTTTTTATTTGTTTCTAGTTGGAGGTGAAAGAGGTGATGCATTCATTGCGTTTTTGTCTGATGATGATGCTCGACAAGCAATGCAAAAAGATGGTGGACAAATATGCAATCAATCTGTTAAGCTATTTTTAAGTAGTAAAAGTGAAATGCAAAATGTGATTGCAGCAGCGCGTGGTAAAACAATGCCAACATCATCGACAATTGGAAAAAGTCAAACAGCACCAAATCAACAATCATCCAGCACAAATCCATCGTCATCATCATCATCTTCAGCAAATCAACAATTCACACAAGATATTGATGAAACATCAAATGATAATTCTCGTCACCATCATCATCATCATCAACAACAAGCACATCAACAAACAGAAACGATAACATCCTTTCTTGATGTTGTTAATAAAATACAAAAACCAAATCAGTCTCTGCAAAATAATACTCCGTCATCAGCAACAAATAATTCTACAAACGCTAATGCTGCTGCTGCCGCTGCTGCGATAGCACCAGCAAATCTTGTGCTATCTTTATTACAGTCAAATATACCACCAAATCTATTAGCACAATTGGCTGGTCAAGGTGGGTATAGTACACAAATATAGAATAACGGCAGATCTTTAATAGAGTAAACAACAGAGTTCATTTTTTTTAAACAAAAAACAACAACAAAACTAGTATGTTCAGTATCAGATAATTATTTCTAAAAACGATTTATTGTTTTTATCTAATCGTAGGAAAATAATCCTATTTTAAAGTTGATCTGTCATTTACACATGGAAGCGGTTAGACTAGAACCTTTTGAGGCTTAAACTTTACAAAACTAAATATTAAATGAAATATATATGGAAGCCGTTGAATAAACAGGTGTCTATGAAATCTTACAATATTAAAAAAAATAATTACTTTATCACTGTTGATCTCTGTTTTAAACAGAAAAATACGGTTAATCTCATAGTCGGTTTTAATATAACATTTCACATTTATAGAATTGTTTATTTGGCTGAAGTACTAGGTTTTCTTTTTCTGCTAAAATCAAAACTTGTTAATTTGATGAATCCTTTCTGTGCGCAAAACTTTTTGCCATCAACAATCAAATTAAATATAGTCTATCTCATAAGAGAGAATCTGAAAATTTTCCTGAAATTAGTTTACCGTTACAACACTATGGATAAATGACAATTGGACTTTGGGCTCTTATGATGATAAGCAAAATTTAATTAGCACCATAGACTGATTCCATTTCTCGAATCATTCCATTCCATTTTGCTTTGGTCATGTAAATGTCACTTTGAGCTTTAATTTTAGACAGAGGACATTGCGTGTTTATTATAAAAAGTCTTACATACACAGGAAAATAAGAACACGCGTTCCTTTTTCTGTAAAGCTGATTACCATACACATGGGTTCGAGTCTAGGTTTTTCTTTATTGAATGCTACAATCGAGTATTTTATAAGGCCATTAGTAGCAAATGTGTCCTATTGTATGCTTTCTCTTTTTTCGTAGGTTTAAACGCTCAGCCGAATGCTGTTCTACAACAAATTGCTGCTTTACAAGCGGCAAGTTCACAGCAAAATGCTATACCAATGCAAACTGGCCAATCACCAATATATACAAATAATCCATTACAATCGCATTTACCCACGTCAACATCCGGCATATCTACATCGTCTCATCAGGGTCTTACACCATCTTCAACTCATGGGCTGCAACCTCATGATACAGTATCAACAACAACATCGAATGGATCTGCGCTAAACTTTATGCACAATGTTCTACCGCCGATGACATTCTTACCACCTAATGCCATGCCACAACTGCCACCGGGAGCATTAAATGCGCTTATGTCCGCTGCACCTGTCTCATTACCACCCAATTTTCCTCTTCCGCCGTGGTTACAAACATCAACACCACATCATATTCCTCCACCACTCATTCAAAATACACCAACAGCAATGCAAACATCCGGTTTTATGTCAAATGATCATCATAATAACAATCAATCCACACATCAAAATCAACAACGTACATTGTTAAGTAATCCTAGTCATACAACTAAATCAACATCTGACGAACATATGAGAACAGTAAATGATTATAATAATAATAATTCGAATTATCCTCAACAATATACAACCGCTGCATCGCGTACCTCAACATCCATAAATTCTCGACAAAAAATACGTGAACCCTATTTGAGAGTGAAAAACTTATCAAAAAAATACTCATATCGTGATGTTAAATTATTATTTTCTGATTATAAATTACGTTTAGAAGATATTAAAATGATTAATGATCAACAAGGTGAACGAACAGGTGAAGCCGTTGTTCAATTTCGTTCAATGGAAGATGCCGAAGAAGCATTATCACAATTTAATAACGTTTACTATGGCGGACAAAATGTACAAATTATACCAGCAACAGAATATGAATTTGCCTCATCTCTAGATTCATTTATACCAACATCTATGAAAAAACGACAACCAGAAGGTGGATATTGTGTTAAAGTACTAGGTATGATATTTACATATTTATTAACAATCGACTTTTAAATTTTTCTTCGTTTGTCTTTCTAGGTATACCAAATAAATGTTATAAACGTGATATAAGAAGATTATTTACCGCATCAGAAATTGTCGCTGATCGTGGAATTTATTTAGATTTAGACATGGATGGAATGATATGTGGACCAGCATTTATCGAATTTCTTAGCGAAATTGATTTAGAAAAAGCTTTATTCTATCATGATGAACATTTTGGTAAACATCTCTTTTACATTTTTTTAAACAGAAACTGAACTGATAAATTTGATCCCATTTTAGGCAATTCACGACTTGATATTCAACGTATATCAAAAAAAGAAATGGAAATGGAAATAAGCGCGTTAAAACAAAAAGATCGTCGTGGTCGTGGTTCAAGTGATGAAGGTCGTTTACGACGTTCTCGTAGTCGTTCACGTTCGCGTGATCGCGATATACGCAGTGGCGGTGGTGGTAGAAATTATCAATCACGTATGAATCAAGATGATGACGATGGAACAAATGGAAATACCAATGTCTCATCGTATCAGCGTCGTCCAAGATACAACGAAGAATTACCGCCGACAATTTGTTGTTTGAGAATGAGAAATATTCCTTATGCCACACGTGAGAATGATGTAAAAAATTTCTTTCAAGGTATTGATATCGCTCAGGATGGTGTGCAATTTAAATATGATAAAAGTGGTCGTCCAGCTGGTGAATGTTATGTTCGATTTTCATCAAGTAACGATTGTCGAAAAGCATATGAAAAAAATCGTTTACAATTTGGTGGTCGTGTACTTGAATTACGACCATTATCTTTATGGGAATTTCAATCGGCAAATAAAGATGAACCAGATGAAACCGGTGCAACATTTTCATCCAGTGGTGGTTTGGGACGGGTAACAAATTTTAATCAAAATTATAATAACAATAGATCATCACCCATGGATACGAATCAACAAAATAATTTTCCAGAAAAACGTAAATTTCATGATAGAGACGATAATAAAAACGACGAACGTATGAAATCGCCTACGAATGATTATTCACAACAACGGTCACGACAATATGGTGAACGTCGACAACAATATGAGAATAGTAATCATAATGCATCATCAACACCAATGTCTCTCGCTAATTCAACAAATGATTCGCAAAATGATAAATCACCTTCGTCAGATGAACAACGAGGAAAAATTTTAAAAACGAACAGTGGTAAATAAATGTTTGTTTTTTTTGTCTAATTTTCCATGTATTATGTATTTATCTTCTTTTCAATTCTAGTTAACAATCTTCAAGACAGTCGTTCACCACTGATGGCCAAACAATTAACTCAATTGCCACCTGGCTATGATCAGTATCGTGGACAAGTATTATTAATGTCAAATGTTCATTTTCGTGCAACAAGAGAAGAAATTTTACAATTTTTAAGAGCTTATCGTCCAATTGAAGATACTTTAAAAGTATGTTAGAAACATATTACTTGTTTTAAATTTAAACCTAATATTCGTTTATGTTTTTTCAGATTCATCGTGATTCATCTGGAAAACCGACTGGACACGCTGTTGTAGCATTAACCAATCGTGATGATGTTCAACAAGCTCTAAAAGAATTGAACAATTCATATTTTCTACTTCGAAAAATATCTGTTTGCGTTGTATGAGTTTTGTTTTTTCTATCTATCTCTTTATTCATCTATTTGTTGCGCTTATTTCACAAAGCGCATTGTACAAAAAATACATCGTGTATATGTGTGTGTGCCTGTTTCTTAACTTTTATTCTATGTAGTCTATGCTCATCTTTCTCTATCTCATCTTTTGTTTTGTTTGGATTTTTGTTGTTGTTTTTGTTTTATGAAACAGATTTCCTTCCATTCAAACATTGTTATATTTTATTTTATTTTTCCTTTCGAGGTATTTCGTATCAGCGATAGAAGAACAAAAAACATCTTTTTTTCCATGATTACAACATGTGATTATCTTATTTTTGCCTCCTCATTACCATTAACAACTCTTGTATTAGCACTCTCCTTTTTATCGGCTGTTTATACCAAAAAATATAATAAAATAAAAACGCCGACTGTTGTCTAATAGAAAACACTTTTTTGTTGATGTTGTTTATTGTTCTACTCATTTTTTTAAGGTATCTACTTGTACTGAATAAAAAATAAAAATGAGATTCTTTGATTAAGTTGGCTGGTAAGAGTGAATTAAACACTGGATGCTTGCATGAAAGTACAATAACTTACATTTTTAGAAAATCAGAATTCTACAAAACCTAGTCTCTAGGTTTACTCGAAAACTTTTTATATGCAACTCAGTCGTATAGGACAAACTTCTCGGAACAAAATGACACGTCCACGAGCTTTCCATAGCTTTCTCACGTTCAAACTGCATTTATTGGGTCCCAAAGGCATTTTTGGTTGTTACAACTGCTTTGTGTACAAAAAGTTTTCGAGTAAATCTAGAGACTAGGTTTTTTGATTTTCTACAGATCCTATTTCAGTACATTTTAATGAAATTTGCATACACATCGCTTCTGATTGAAAACCCTTTCAGCAATTGAAATCACTTTGTTGATTGTTTTAGCACAAAATGTTTAAAAAAAATCATTTCTATAATTTTGCATAGGACTGTATTATATTTTTATATGATAATTCAAAATATTTACTGGTACTACGGATGTTACAAACCTCGAGACCTTGCATCGGAGATCACATGTTTTCATTATTCAAAACTCCCAAGCTCTGCCGAGCGTTTGTACCAGAGGTAACCAGTTTTCTCTACGGTATCCGAAACTAGCGCTCGAATTGGTCAAAATCAATAAAAATGTACCGGGCTTGGTAAAGCTTGTTAAAACGTACAGATAAAGGTCAATTTTCACCAGGCTTTACCAAACCCGGTACTTTTTTTACTGATTTTGATCAATTCGAGCACTAGTTTCGGATACGGTAGAGAAAACTGCTTACGTCACAAACGTTCGGGAGAGCTTGGGAGTTTTGAACAATGATGAATCTTTGATGCAAGGTCTCAAGGCTTGTAACATCCCTATTTGGTACACAGAATAATTCTCATTCTCATTCTCATTCCTCGATTCGTGATATTAAATGACTTGTTTGGCTCTTAACTACTATGTTGAACTTGCGGACGAATCATCATTTTTTCAAACTGGGAAGAAATCTCTTATAATAATATAAATTTTAATGTTTAACTTACATTAACACTTATATGTCTTTTATTGCCTTTAAATTGATAGAAACAACAATCTGATGAAATATAAAAAAATGAGCAATACTATGTACTATTTTCTCATGTTATTAGGTTGTCTGTTGTTTGCATGACAATCGCCTCTACTCCCCATATATCCAGCCCAAATTTGTTCGTTGAATGATGCTACCTCTACTTCATCACATAAATGTTCACGCTTGAAGCTAAATTTATTTTTCCTAATTGGACAGTTGCGAAAATGAAGACGTAGTCTGTAAACAGTCAATTGACCCATTTGTTTTTTAAATGGATTTGATATTGAAGTTCTTATTGAGTCTACTAATTCCGGAGATATTTTAAGAGCTGTATTTATTAGTCTTGTATGATTTCTACATTTTTCTTCGATGTAATGTTCATATGCATCATGATCCATTCCAACATAAAGACCTATAGAGGAAACAGAATAGATTAAGTAATGTAAGAAAACTTTTTATTAGAATATACCATCATTTCCATTCAACCGTAGATGTTCATTAGCCATTCCTTCATTGATACACCGTTTTTCATCTGGTCGAAGTAATAATGATGTATCAGAATTTATCCAATATGTTGCGAAGATGATATCGATTGATGATTTTCCATGTTGAAGATCTAACGATGGAGCGAGAGTACCTATTTGAGGAGAGAAAACGATAGAAATGAAATTAAAAGCAAACATAATAAGCCTTACCGGTTGATATCATTCGTTGTACACCGCCATCATCATGTGGCCCTACATGACGTTTTCGTCGCTTATAATGTTTTCTTGCAGAGCGATCACTATCATATTCCTCACCGGTTAAAAATTCTACATTAGAATCATCGTTTAATAATGATTCATCGCTGTTGTCAACACCATTTAGATTGGTTTGCGGTGGATTTAACTCATTTAATTTCGGTGTAATCATACTATCGTTTTCCTAAAACATTTTTTTAACAATTTTATATATTTTTTTGATGAGCAACTGTTACTGTTTGTTTGAGATCTTACTTGTACATAATTCTCCAGACTTTGCCAATCATCATAGATTTCTGTATAATTTGGAAATCGTGACAAAAATTTTTGCACGTCAAGCGATGTATTCACCCAAGCACCATGTTCCACTGCTGCGTTCTCATCTAAAGAAACGTTAATGATTTCTCTATTGTATAATCTGATTTATAACCTTTGTAAGATTTTTATAAGCTTTTTTATGATGTTTTTCCAAATCTATCTTTTACTTGAATGATAAATGACTGTTCCAGGAGGTTCCATTGAATTTGATAGTGCGTATAAAGCAGTATAACTCGTTGTATGATATTGTAATTTACAAATGTTTGCATGTGATAAAATAAAACTTGGCATATCTAAAAACATGTTAATTCCACTTTATTCTAATTATATCCAAGTAGATATTTTCGCTATACTTTTTTCATATTCAATTTCTCGTCTTGTTCCATTCGTTATATTATCACAACCACCTAGCCAAAATAAAAACATATCTGTTCCTCGTTTATTAAAACTAACTAAATAGAATAGAAGAATTAACACAAAGTTTTTAATTGAATATAAACTAACTAACTAGTTAACGGTGAACTTTGAGCACCAATTGTGTGTTCCATTGGCTTATTTAATAACGGTTTACCAGTTAAACCATCTAAAATTGTTGTCTAAAAACTAAATGATTTCACATTAAAATGGGCATATTTTCAAAACATCGTGTTACCTGTGCACTGTAATATAATGGATATCCTGGACCCTGTTGATAATGAATCATTATATCAGGAACATCATCATCGTTAAAATAAGCAACAGCTGGTGTACTTAAAGAAAAATCCAAACTATATAATTTATGTAAATCAACGTTAATGATGAGTATTTAACATACCTATACGTTTCAGAGCTAAAAAATGTATAATTCCAGAGCTGTTTAAATGTTTGTCCATCAAATGCAAACAATGTAGAATTGTATAATGGAATTATAATATCATCAACATTGTCTTTGTTAACATCTACTAAAACTGGTGGTGTCATTACGCCCTTATAATCATCGGAAATAATTTTGATGTACTGAAGCAATGGTGTAAATATTGAACCTTTTTCATATTTCTTATGAATAAAAAATTACTATTACCGGCTCGTTACAGCGCGATGTAAAGCATTGTAAATTAAACGCAAATAATCCACCTCCGTGAGTTTCTCCTCCTGTTCCAATCAAAATAAATTGTTCACCTTTCTTTCGAGTAATTAATTGTGGCGAATAGTACGATTCCATTTTATCGGGTACAATAGAAACGTTTAGTAATTGACCAGATTTTGAACTAACTAACAATATTTCACCAGGTATTCGAACTTTCTCATCTAAAATTTTGATGAATTCGTCTTCATTAGCATTTTCTATTGGAATTTGGAATAAAACTTACGTGGATTTCGCGTTGGATCTCCACCGTGAACGGTTACTATGTCATCTAATCCATCATGATCAACATCGTGTATATACAATGGCGTGTAAAAATTCATTTTTTCACTACGCACTTCATTATCAAATGTCCAGATCAACTTTCCTGATTGACCACTAATCGCTTCAAATGTCTACATAAAAGTTCACGTTTTAAATATTTTAGAAGATAAAAAGTTTTAAAAAACAGTACGTACACCACCTCTGCCACCAGTAAGACAATCCAAAATTCCGTCTTTGTCGATATCACGTTCACAATTAAGTGCAAATACTTCGTGTTGAGATCCATCGAAATTCCATCTGACTTCGCCATTCCGTCCATCAAGTAACTATTAACAAATATGATCATAAAGTATCTTATCAAGAAAGCTTTCTTTATATTAAACTCTTATTAGACACAAAAGCTATATTTTTGGCTTAGAGCTCATTGAGTTTAAAGTTTCAAAATTGTTCTCAGTTTTTATTCAATCATCTGAGATTTACCCATGCGTTTTATTCCATTAGGATACGTGCGAAACGGAAGAAAAAACACTGGGAAACTTGAAAACTGAGCCTATTAAAGTATCCTTACCATAACTCCACCATTGCAGGGGTAAGAGCCATCGAAATAGATATCGCACAATAATCTGTTTGGAATTAGAGTGTCCACTCCTGATAAGAAAAAAGACAGTCAATTGAAAACTAGTTCTTAATAACAGATTTAATTCGACATTGGTATCCATTGCTTCTCACATCAATGCAAAACATGTATTCATGCTCAATCAGACAGAGAAATTAACATTGTAGCTTTAGAAAAAGTTGTGTACCTGTTCCGTATCCAAACACAATATCAAGCACACCATCTTTATTAGAATCAAGAAGACGAAAAGAGGTTTCTGTGATAAGTTTTGGTAGACCAGTAGTCCATATTAATTCCACTTTGATTTCTAATTTGGTCTGATTTTCTTGATAAATAAATGCACTCAAAAATGTAATAACTGTTGCTAATATTAAACCGGTGAAAAGTGTTACACAAAGACATAGACGACCTGCTGTTCTTTGTTCTCGTTTTTGTCTATTTATAAAAATGAAAAATAAACGTTAAATAAACTTAGTACACGATATTTTGGGTATTGCTAAAAGACGCGAACATCCACGAACACCCCCAAATTAAAATCTGAGTTAGCCAATCGATAAAGCTCGACGAGCTGAGTATAGCAACGCCTAACAAACATTTTTAAGCATACATTTTGAATGAACATCCACGAACACCTACGAACACAAAGAAGAAAGGGTAAGAACACCTAAAAAAGTGCGCCAGATTCATCTTCAGGTTATTCTGGGCTGAGGGTGAGGTGCTGGTAGGCTCACCCTCAGCCCAGAATAATCTGAAGATGGATTTGGCGCACTTTTTTGGGTGTTCTTACCCTTTCTTCTTTGTGTTCGTAGGTGTTCGTGGCTGTTCTTTGGGTGTTCATAGGTGTTCGTGAATGCTCGTGGGTGTTCATTCAAAATGTATGCTTAAAAAGCGAAACTATAAAAACTTTTTTGGGTGTTCGTTAGACGTTGCTATACTCAGCTCGTCGAGCTCTATCGATTGGCTAACTCAGATTTTAATTTGGGGTGTTCGTGGGTGTTCGCGTCTTTTAGCAATACCCCGATATTTTGTATATTTTTATCATTCTTACCTAAATGATAATATAAAATTGTCCGATAATTCGATGGTAGTATCTTGTTGATCTAATAAATTATGTTTATCATTGAGCGAATTCAAATACGATAAAACAAATGTATCGTCTGCTTCATGTTTCGTTGTCTCGTCTTCAGTGAATGTCGTCATTGATGAAATAGATGATAAATTTTCGTTGCATTGCTATATTAAGAGATTGAACTTTGAATATTTAATTGGTATTTAGTTATCATTATTATTTAAATCGAGGAAAATTAGCACGTATTATGGTATATTATCACGTGTCAACGACCACGTATATTTGCCGTTTGTTTTAATGAATTTTTACTATATCTAACTCTCTATTACATCTTGTCTCTGACGTTCTCTTTTTTTTTTTTTCTAAGCGATTTTTTTGTAAACCCTCCATGGAGGAGAGGAGCACATGCGTTCAGATTTGAGACTTCTTCTCTTACTATTCATTTTTTCTTTGTTCTGTTTCTACTTGTATTTTCCAATACTCCAAAATGAAGAAAAAAAACGATTTTCTTTTGTAATACAGGACCTAAAATGCGTAAAATGTCTACACAAACTAATAGAAAAAAAATATTCTAGTACGTCAAACTTTTCAGGCTAAATCTTCAATAAGTAATAGGTATACTTGTAAGGAGATCGTTAGTTAAAACAAGAATTTAGTCTCTAATGCATATAACACGTTCTATTTCATAATCATACATGAACTCATCGTTTTTCATGAATTTGATGTGATATAATTTAACTAGACTTTATTAATATAGAAAAACAAACAGTATTGAACAAAAGAAAACAAAACGTGATTATTTAAGAAAAACAATACATATCCAACAGGATATTTGGAAAATGATACGATATTTTACCTAATTAAAATATATTTTACTCTTATATTATTTTTAAAAAATTCTGTAGTAAAACATTTATGCCAATAAGCATTGAACATTTTGAGCATAATCACATCGATCGATTATAAAATTATAACGTAGACTACTCGGACAACTTCGACTTAATAAAATACCATTTGAAATTGGTGTAGGAGCTATAAAAGAAAAAATAGATAATTTAATTCTATTATGATATAAAAGTATAATTTAATTTATACCTTGAAGATAATGAATACATTCGAAATATTTTCCATTGACACAATTGTAAACATCGGCAAATCTTCCATTTGATTTGCATCGAAAATATTCTGTAAAGTAAAGTCAGTAATACTGTTATTAATTATATAAATTTTTCTTTTCTTTTACCTGTTTCACACAATTTTCCTGTATAGCCAATCTTGCATAGACAATAAGCGGCTCTTGACGTGCCAGGAGAATTCTCATAACATGTACCACCATTCATACAAGAAATTTGATGACATCCGCCAGAAGCTTTTAAAAATAAATATAAAATTAACATCCGTCTTGAATTCTTCTTGAATGAAAAGCTTTTAAAGGAAGAGAAAACTAGCGTTCAGCAAAAGCGAAAAGTTGGTTTAAAATTTAATCTTGAACCAGAACAAAATTGAGAATATAAATTCCTATTATATAATTTTGAAACTTAAATTATCAAAATACAAAATCAATTCTTGTACGAAACTAGAATCGAACACACCAACTTGATCATTGCAGACGAACTCATATGAAGTCGAAATTGATTTGGCTGGAGTTTTTTTTGCAGACGAGTTGAAGAAAAATCTTTTTTGCAAGTTACTTATTAGCATAAGGACATGACTAATTGGAAAATATCTCTTCTCAAGTCTTTTCCGTTACCGAGATAAGAGGCATTATCCGTAAAATAACTACCTTTCCTGCCGGCTACTTATAATCATACCTTTATGAATAAAATAACCATAAGTAGCTCGAGTACAGTATAGAGACATTTTGCTAGGTGCGAGCTTACTTTTCATTGGTAGAAATCGTGAAAAAAATCAGAAGTCCGACATGGTTAAAAGTGGAAAAAGTCCAAAATTTGGAAAATTTGTGCGCTCTCGCCGCCCACGGAAGACGTTTTTATAAAATTACAATTGCCAGAGAATCTGAGTACAAAGCTACAGCTGCCTAAATAATCAATTTCACCAAAAAATCTTGCCTTTGAAGCGATAAATACGAGCCAGTTTTTAGGAAGTAATGCCTCTTATCTCGGTAACGGAAAAGACCTGAGAAGAGATATTTTATGTGGTATTAGTCATGTCTTTATGCTAATAAGTAACTTGCAAAAAAGATTTTTCTTCAACTCGTCTGCAAAAAAACTCCAGCCAAATCTATTTCGACTCCATATGTGCACCGTTTCTAGTGCATTTTCAACAGACGATATGTTGAAGCTTCATGGTGTGAGAAAATACTGTCTGTGTAACTAATTCGGTGCACTTGAAATACAAGTATAACATTGAACGTAATTTGTACTAAGTATATTGAATATCTTACTATTAAGATGCTTACTTTTATGATCTAATACTGTTCTTATAATTGGGAATATGTTTATCATTTTGAAAAATAAAATTTTTAACTTACGGATCAAATGTTCACAATATTGACCGGTAAATGAACTTGGGCAAATACATTGCTGAGAATTTGGAAAAACACACACACCCCCATTTTCACAGGGACACGATAACGATCTTGCCGTACTAGTTGTAACTTAACAAATCGAAAGAATTAATAATCTTCGCATAATATTCAATTCAATTTAATGCGTACTTGATGAAGGTAGACATTGTGCTCGAAAACTCTGATCTGGACAAAAACAAACATAAGACGATTGAAGATCATAACAAATTCCCCCATAGAGACAGGGATTCGAGGCACATTCATTAATGTCTAAAAATAAACGCCTTTAAATAACCTGAAAAACTATGTTTTGTTTACTGACTTATTTCACAAAAACTACCAGTAAATCCAGCAGCACAAACACATCTATAGATAGAACTACTGAATAGGCAACTGCCTCCGTTCAGACAGGCTCTAGACTCAAGAGGATTGCATTTATTGGCTGCCGGTGTTGTTGTTGTTGTAGTTGAAGGTGAAGTAGTAGTAGAATAGGCATCTAAATAGTAATCGATCCATTACAATTTGTAGAAGATACCATATTATTTAGATACATACTGCATGTGGTACCAAATCGACCATCAGGACACAAACAAACGAACGGAATGGAAGTTTCATCAAGTGTGAAACATTTCCCTAAACCACATGGACTACCACCACAAGCTGATGAAATTTTATCTGTAAAAATATTTTATTATATGCGTAATTTTATATGAAATCTATTGTTCAAACTTTAAACATACTATCACATAATTTTCCTGTCCATCTTGGAAAACAGTTGCAGACAAATTGATCGAGACCATCGACACAAACTCCATTATAACATGGATTTGAACTACATGCACTTCTTGTTGCTAAAAAAAGCCAATTAATCTGACTTTAAAAATATGCCAAATAGAAAACAATGTCTATAGCATTAGTTCAGGAGTATCAGTCTAGTAAATATGTAACATGTCGATTGATGTTAGATTATATTGTTAAATTTTTTGACAGAAATAAAAATAAATTAAATAAAATGTGCTCACCATTACAATTAGTTAACGATACTGTATTCCCAATACATCTACATAGGTAACCTTTCGGTAGACTTGGAACCAAATCACATGTACCTCGTCCACAGGGATTTCTTGAACATGGATCTTATGAATAGAGTGAAGGTGTTTTAATTCCATTAAGAAATTATTCAAAGTTTTTCTTACTTTCTGGTGGACATGGTAAAATGGTATTGGCCCCATTTAAACAACGACAATAATACGGTAATGTAGGATTTTGCGTTAATACACATTGACCAGATCCACAATTGGTTTGTTTGCAGAGATCTATGTATACATATTAAAATGTATGTAAAATTATTCTGAAGAAAGAGACTACTGCCAATTAGGTGTTTTAGTTTTAACTGGCGAATAATATCAGTCAATTTATTATAGCTTGTAGACAGTAAGAATAACGAAAAGTTTAAAACCCTGTATGTACCTTGACTCTGCGCATTATTAACTATAAAATAATTAATTACTATAATTAAGATTTTGTAGTAAAACATAATGTATAATGAGCAATAATGTGCTATAAATAACAGAGAAAAATTTGCGTGTTTTTGAACGTTATTAAACCGATGAATATGAACTTACTGAGATATGTTATAGATTAATTACGTTTCTATCTATTTTTTTTTTTGATTTTATATCTATTTATTTTTTTATGGGAGTGTGCGACTTCGAAAAAAAATGAGAAATATTTAAAGAATAAGGTCAATTTATCTCGATGCTTTGTCTCGACAACACGACTACTTCCATTGATGATGAACAAAGAAACAAGAACGTCTAGTAGAACTTGAATAGATGAGGTGATTATTATACATATTATAGGAGTAATGATACTAGTGTTTGTCACAGAATGAGAATAAAGACCCTCAGAATAACAATAATAGTGAAGAAAACAACAACGATATTTGATTTTCACTTCTATTCTCTAATTTAAACTAAAGAAATTTGATCTAATGACATGAATAAGCGAATATCAAACAATGTATGAGACGTAAATATCAACAAATAAGTTGTTCAATTTTCGAAATATCACACATTTAAAAGAGTGATATATATTTGAAGGACAAATCGTTCAGTTTATACTTTATAAGGTTTCATTACAGTAAGCATCCTTAATAAATATTTGACATATGAATATAGGCAATGAATAAGAATAATAGTGCAAAGCGTTACATCCATATGCAAGTAGTTTTTTCTCACTATCTCACATGCTATACTTATTACGTCAGTAGTAACTTTTCTCTGTATCCTTGGACATTTTCGATGTTTTCTGATATATGAGAGTAACTACAAATAAAATCAGCAATCTCCGTATGATTTTCTGTGAAAATTGGATATAATCGTCAATTTGAATATGCGTAGAAAGTGTCGAATATTTATGGTAGATTTTCTACACGTCACAAAATGTTGTACCTGTAAATTATTGTTTGCTCAGAAGTGGCTTATTTTGAAAGGATTTGAGCTCATAGAACGAAAACACATGGAAAAAAAAGAGACGAAGAGAGAGAGGGTGCGTATAATGCTACAGTAAACGTGTGCACAAATTATTTTTTAACAATTTCGTGAAAGAATGAGTTACACAGCAGGCCTTCTGTCATATTCCTATCCCTCCTTGATATCAAATAATCTCTCCACACCACTCGAATTCTATGAACCATCGTTGCCGTATCAATTTTTATCAAATAACAATACAAATGTAATATCAAGTCAAGATTTATTTCATAAACCTATCGGTGGCTATCAGCCGTATAGAATGACAGATTATGCGGGAGTATCAAGTCCATTGGACATATATCATTCGCCAAATTCTAATTCAACAAAAATTAATCAAAGCTCATTTAGTCCACTAAATGATATCTCAGAGTATTCGGAAAGTTTAGCAACGGCCTCGAATACAGCATCAAGTGTTGCTCGTTCTATTGTCAATGATCCTTTAATGTTGAGAACAACATATCAACATCCTAATCGTGCCAAGCTCGAACCATATCTCGGCTCTGTCTGGGAACATACACAAGATCATGTAAATGTAAAAAAAACAGGAGTTGAACCACATGCCTCCACAAACATGCGTAATCCTCAAAAACGTGCAACAGAAAAGAACTTATCGAATGTAAAAGCAAAGATGAATAAAAAACCATTTGAAACGAAAGTTTCTCATACTATACAAGCAAACCATGCTGAACCACATCTGATACACACGAAAGACTCATTTAATGCAACCCAATTACCAGGATCATTGGGACTCCAGCAACATAAATCAATAAATCCGAAACACCATCAACTCAATCGAAATCAAACTATTACAGATCTACCAGATAGTACAGAAACGGTTCAAGCATGGCTCAGTGAAAGTCAACTGAAACACGGCAAAGAAAATGATGAAAATGAAGAAGATGTAAAGAAAAATGATTCATCATCTCCACAAGACCTAGATGATACTCTCAAAAATGATAATGATAGTTACACAAAACAAGTTAACAAAGCAAATATGATAAACAGCAAAATCGGTGATGAACATACAAGTCATGACGCTGAACATGTTTGGTCTGTTAAAACTGATCAATTGCATACAATGTATACGAATCGCGAGAAAAATAAACCAAAATCAATAAATAGACAATCGGTACCACTGCCACGAAAAATAAGTACCAATCATGCAACTAAGTCAGATCATACCAGTCATACTGTACGAGATAATGCTGTTTCATTCAATATGAAAAATGACTCATATTTTGATTCATTGTTTGATGGTGTGTTTTTTCGTAAAGATCTACCATTCAATCGAAATAGATTAGTACAACCACTTTCAACGTCATTGAGTAAGTTTGCCGAACATTCTGGTTAATTTAGACTTATATTTTGTTCTTTGCTAGATAAGCCAACTATATCAAAAAGTGTTCTGAAACAAACCAGTCAAAAACAATTAAAGCCAACAAAATATGAACCACCGTCATCCAAACGAATCAATAATACCTTAATTACAACATCATCATGGAGAAAACAGGTTTGTAAAATACATCTCTACCACGGTTTTTTGTAACAAGTCTCTTATTTTAGTTCCATTATGGTTCTTCATTAGATTCAGTTTTGCCGAATTCTCTGTTACCATTTTATATGCAAAATGAAGTTATTTATCGAGACTATTTAAACAAAGATACGGACGAAAGATATCGCGAAGCTTTACAAGCACTTAGAGCAGAGAAAAAGAAAGAACAAAGCCAAGTAGTAAGTTAGCCATTTTTTTTGTCCGATTCTAAAATAAGATATTTTTCCCCTTTAATATTTAGAATGAAACTGCTACAAAGCGAATGAATTATGGTAATTATGTTCGAAATTCGACAAAAGATGCTCTTTTAAATAATGCAGTTACTCCTCGCCATTGGACAGACTTTATGGATGTTAAAAAAGGCAATGTTTATGAATTAAGCAAGGAAGAAAAGGTACACAGACACAAATGCTTCTAAAAAATGAATAAACCTTCTGCTGTCATATGACAGTTGTTAAAAATCGATTAATCCGCACGATTAGGAGATGCTACATGGTAGAATTGTGCGGCGATAAGTGAATTGGATGACCACAGAATTATACTACTTGATTCCAAGGTTTCAGTGTTATTTATATACAATTTTCTTAACATATTAATTCTATTGTGAATGGTTTCTGTTTTAGAAAGAACTATATCAACAATCTAAATCTTACGGTGAAAGAATTCGAAACCGTAATTTTGCCATTCATTATGCTGAAGAAGCATCAAGATTATACCCATCAACATTTCGGCCATCGATTCAAGTAAACAACAACGAAATACAGGTGTGAAAATATGTTTTTTCACACATACAGTCTAATCGTTAAAATCCTGACACTAAGAAAAAACTACTTCTAAGAGAATATTCTCGAATCTGAACTTCCACAACGTCAACGATCAAAACCACGACCATCCCATCCAGATACATTCAGTCGCACATCACGCATATTAAAACGTCCAAATTCCGTATCAACAACAAAAACTAGTCGAACAATTAAAACATTAACGTTTGAAAACATTGTAAAAAACAAATCAAAACAAAAACAATTGAAATCAAACCGCAGTAGTCTAACATCGTATTCAAGAAATCATTTATCGGATCAGTCCATGCTACATCCATCTGACGAAGAAAATGAGGGAATGTCTAATTTTTATAGTAATAAACAATTTTTTAGAAAAAAATTATATACGCACGGCAGTAAACGAAATACACACGCAAATTCTAATCTAAGTCAAATGAAAAGTACAAAAGCATCGGAAGAAGAATATCGAAAAATGAGACAATCGTGTTATTCATACTCAAAAAGAAGGCGATGATGAGATGCCATCATTGTTCACTGTAAGGGAAGAAAAAAATGTTTGAATCTTTGGGAGGAACGCGTCAATAAAAGTCAAAGTTAACATTTTTTTTGTAAATAATGATATTTTCATTTAAATATAGTGAACTAAAATTGATTTACAATTCCCCAACTTTCTTTTCTGGTATAATTTTAATGTTTTAATTTTTTTAATAGTTTAATAATACTGAGAAGATATTAGTCATTGTATCTTGTATGACAGACAGTTCGAGCATCGGTCCAATGTAACTTCATTCTTTCATGTTTTTCTTTTTCTCATCATCCAGATTAACTTATTTTGCTGGATATTTTTCATGTCTGTGTTTGGGTGAATAAAAGTTTCGGTTTGATTAGTGTCAGTTTTCGTCACTTATTAGTTTTTTAGTTTCAGTTGTCCAATTTGTCTGTCGAAAACTCAAATTGATGCATCTCTAGTTATTATATGATACCTATGAAAATGACATCTTTGTCGTCCAATTGTGGCGGACCAAGTAAAGCAAAAGGAAAACAATTCCGAGTATTATTTCCGTTTTTAATAAGTTATGTATTATTCAAATGCTCATAATTTTTGAATATTGGTTTATTTTTCTTTCCTTCCTCGTATATATATTTTTTTTGTTAAAATTCAATTCAATATATTGTCATCACTTATCAAAATCAATCTATTGATAAAAAGCGTCAAGATTTCCCTCATTTAACGATAAAAACAAAATACATAATGACGTTACTATGACAAGGTATTAAAACAAAGTTATAATAGCCTTTTACTGATGTGATTTATATCATATATTCCGATGCTTTTAGAATTAACAGTATCGAACACGCTCAATAGAATTTGTAGTAAAAAACGCATTCAATACTATGAATATGCTCATAATAGTTTTATAGAACAAAAACGCGGTGAAATTAAATAGCCTCATATTGTCAAGTAGTTTGTTGTTACTATTGAAGAAAAAAGATATTTCATTAAGACACTGACTTTGCAAATAAGTTACATCAATAACATGACTTTTTCAATAAAAAAAGGTAGGTATAAGAAGAAAAAAAAATGCGTCATTTTCTTGTATTTTTCTCTTGTACAAGAAAATGCATATTCTACTTTTTCTTTTGCAGTTAAAAAAAACAAATGTGATTAACTTTAGTGTCAAGTATGTGTTGTTCGTCAGATTTAATCATACAAAAAATTGTTTTTATTAATGAATTCACCACAATTTAAAAAGAAAATTACGCTGAGTTTTTGAATATCATATACAATTAAACTACTGCTTTTTGTAAATCATTAATGATACAGATTAAAGGGTTTGCAGCTGAACAAATATAATTAAATGTCTGTATTTAACAAAGGTTATGATCTCGTTTAGTTAACTTGTATTTTATACGATTTCTCTTAACGACAAATTATTATTTTAAATAAAAGTAAACAAACCATTTTTTTTCCTTCACTTTTTGCCTGTATATATATATATTCAAGATTATTTTGAAACAAAGTTTAATTCTCGAACTGTAGATTTTTACGCTTTAAATAGCTCAAACAAAACAAATTTATAATACTCAAGTTTAATTTTCAACAACTGTATTGCTTGTATTGTCATAGTACGAAAAATAAATAGCAATAGTAACGAACAAAAACAGTCATCTATCAGTTTTTCTCTTCATTCAGAAACATAAACTATAACGACGATGATAATAATTGTTACCATAATTTATGAACTTGAATGAATTCTCTTGAATCTGAATATTCGTTTTTGTTACCCACTTGGAAATTGCCAAGTGTCGTCACACCGTCCATCTATTCAAAACCACATATTCCCATTTTGTCGTCCGTAGTAGAACCAGATTGGTCAACGTGGAATAATTCATTTTATAATTCAAATTATGTACCATCAAATACTCAGATGTCAAATACAATGGCGAGAACACGGTATCAACCGTCGTCAATGTATCGTTCGCAAAATTATAATACTCGTCAAGGTCCATCAAATAGACGAAAAGACTTAGCCAAAGAGGAAGATGGCTTAAATTTAACAATTAGTTTACAGCCGAATAACGAAAATGAAATGTCATCTATTACTCCCACTGTTAAAATGGGTGCTTTACCTCCGCCTCATCCAGGATACCATCGACAAAATGGACATCAACGATATAACAACAATAATAATAATAATAATAATAATAATCGATCTCTCGCACTCGATGCGAATAACATAAACCTGTTTAATCAAAGTCAAAATATTACTACAATGCCCAGAGCAAAACATGTACAAATCGCCGACAACGGATCAAGCAGAGATAGTGAGAATTCATATAGTGTATATTCTTATGCAAGACAGGAAAATGGATCCGAGATTGATACACCACATACATCTCGAAAACATGGTAATAATAAACATTCATATCCAAAACAACAGCAACAGCAACAACAACAACAACAACAACAATATGAAGAAATTGATGATAGAAACAATCCGGATAAACAAAATTTCAATGTACATGAATATTTATATGGATTAAGTGCACCAGATCCAGGTATAAGGAAAGCATTTAATTTTAGCAAACGAATAGTTGTGATCGTCTCATACTTTATTGATACAGTTTATAGTTTAGACAAATTTTTCTTAGGCGACTATTTTTATATATTATTGAGCAAACATCTTTACTTTACTATAGCGATGCAATCGTTTAGTCTACAGGAAACCAAAAAACCACTACTGTTTTGTTACAAGATAAATTTGTTTCGTTTATTTTATTTTGATTATGCACTTCTGTGAGAATACAATAAATCTGTTTTGATTCTAGGAAGTTATGTGAATGCATTTAAAAACCAACAACGGAGGCGAGAAGCCGAAAAGTCGGGTCGAAAATCAGTGATTACAGAATACAAAAATTTTGAAAGAAATCATGGTTTTGGACCAGCATTTGGTAGCAACGATATACAGACGCATGAAGAGAAGGTATTAGTGAGAAAAGTGTACTGTTTCACTATTTAAATTTGGACTTTTTGACGTTTTATTTTATTCTATAGGTAAATAAAGAGAAAAAGAGAAAATATTATTCAAAAGATGTCAGAGAACAAAATTATGTTAAACTTGTTGAGCAAAGAAATACAAATTCAACTCATCAAAATCGAAAACTGAATATACCTGTACCAAAATCACAACGTGTAAGTATATTAAATACTTGAAACTAACCGTGTGATTTTTAGAGAACATATTTTGTATGCACTTTTATCGGCACCATGTCGTGACCTTTGTTGTTCATTTACTTATTCAATATACAACACTGGAATATATATACTCACACAGGTGTGATATATCTCATTAATTAAAGCTAATAATCATACGCTAAAAATGTATTATTTACTTCTCAAAAATATAAAATATATCCTGAGAAATCTTGATCATTTAACGAATAATCATTATTCACACATTCTCTCATTATTTTTTTTCTATATATCACCTTCAGAGTAAATCAAATTAAAATGATTAATCTATTCCTTCTTTTTACTGATATGGTATTGCGTTGTTCTTATTGTTATGTTTTCAGAATACGACATCCATTAGAGCTGATTTTTTATCACCTAAAGAAATAAAAGAATTTGAACGAAAAGTCAAGTTAGAACATAATGTTAATTGCAAATGTTCTTTGCATACTCATTCGTCGTAAAAAATACTGATTTGCTTTTATTATCGTCAAATTTATCAACAACTATAGTATATCAGTAATCTCAATGTTGTTGTTTTTTGTTGTTTTTTTATAATATTTTATTTGTAAACATTAAATAAATAATCTCACAGTTTTTTTTAACACTGTTATGTTGTGTGTTATTTTTTTACATGATTATTTTCTATAAATATTTCTAATTCTCTTTATATTCCTTTATAGGCACGTCAATACGCTGATAAAATCGAAAGACCACGTAAATTAAAACCACTGGTGCGTTTACGTGATCCCATTTCTGGGAAAACAATTATCCGTGCAGATCGAAAACAACGCTTTACCCTATAATAATAATAATAATCATATCATAACTGTCAACAATAAAATAGTTGTTTTTCATAAACTACTCAACTAACTGTTTTCTTCGTCCTCTAAAAACTGTTGATTGAAGTATCTTTATTATCATTTCAATGGTGCATCAAAATAATTTGTGTCTGTGTGTGAATTTGTTCTGTAATTTATCCTTAGGCCAAAAATATTCTGGTGTTCTCAACTAAACAAGAAAACTCTTTTCCTTGCTTTTAATCATTCGATGAATATTTTGTTAGGTTTTCTTAAGGAATTAGAAAAAACGAAAATGTTTTCAACATTTCTTAGAGAAAAAAATATCAAAATAATCAAATGCTTTTGAATCCTTGGCTGTAATATTTTTTTTTCAAAGAAAGACAAGAAAGCTTGTCTATATACAATATACTAAAAAAAAGCGATAAATAAACGCTTTATACGTTACGCTCATTACAGTATTTCTATAAAATACATTTTCATAGTTATTAATTTAAGAAATAAAATAATTACAAGTACATCTCCTATCAATGGCTTGATGAGTCTTCTGAATTGAATTTATAAACAATATACCTGCTTAATTTCTTTTAATTATCTATTATTTTAAGAAACTATCTGTATATTCGTTCATCCAATCTTTGACAACAATAAACAAACTTTTATATTGACCTCTACCATAATAACTATGATAAACTTTTAACAAATCATATCACTCAATGTTTTTTCACAAGACTAAAAAAATTGCAGATATTGTACTTAAATTGTGTTCATCGTACATTTAGCGTTTAACATATGGTAATAATGTCTATGGTAAGACTTTAATTGATAATCGAAATCGTTATGAATATAATTATTGTGACAGGTGTCATCTGAGTCACTCGTCGTTTAATCCTCTTCATCGATGGTACAAATGTGAAATATGCTTAGCCAAATTAAACTATCTAGATAATTCATTATCATTTCAACGGCAAATGAATTGGTATTCAAAACCAATACATACACGTTTACAACACATCGATTTGGATAGTAATGAATTTTGTAGAAGTCGATCGAGTTCACTCATCGAAATACCACCATTATATCTTTCACAACAGAATACTAGTCGAAAATCCGAGTCTTCTCTAGCTCATAGCACATTTGACACAGAAATCCAAATATCTCCTATTCCTGACTCTGTTAGTCCTGTAGAGGTAATTACACCATTATCCTCCTGTTAACTATATCTAGGGCTTACAATCAATAATTTTATTTAGTCAAAGAATAATATCAACGACATTGTGATACCATCGGTCAGATTAAATATGAGAGAAAAAGATATTCTCGAACGTATTCGATTAATTAAAACACGAGAGAAGACAAAAATTTTAGAAAAACACGATCATGAAATAATGAATAGTAACAAATCAGCTTTGGTCAATCGGGAAGTATCAGGTAAATTTCCGTTACATGAACATAGCATAAAGTCAGATGAAAAGAATCGATTTGATAATATTATATAGCAACAACTATTAAATAAGAGAAAAACATCACATAATAGAAGACCTCATACTGTGATAACGGTAAAAGTAACAGAATCAAAACCTGTTTGTCATTATGAAACAGTAACAGTTTAAAACAGCGACAAAACTCTAAAGAATGAAAAATAGTTTCAAATCAATTTTAATTAAAAAGGTCGATCAGGAATTGATGAATGATCATAATCCAATAAAGCGACGTGTGCGATTTGCGGCTGAGAATGAGGCAAGAATAGATCATTTCTTTTAGGAAGAAATTATTGTTGTTAAACAATAAATTATAAGGTACTGAACGATTGAAACGACTTTCGTCATTTAGATTACTGGTAATTTAACCAGTATCATCTATCAACTGCAAAGTAAAACGGTCATGAGAAATACAACACAATTTACACCAAATTCAACGCAGAAGAAAAGCAATTTGTCAACTTTACCACGATCATCTACAGCGAGTAATCAACAAAAACGAACAAAGATAACAGTGGCTGTTAAAAAAACAGCTCACCAAGTAATACGCATACGGGATCCAGTATTTGTCCATTTAATCATTTATTAAAGAGTAAAATGTTTGTCATTCTTGAATACCTTCTTCTTTGTGTATATGATGGACTTAGCACGTATATCATATCATATCAGTATTAGAGTGTAAATGTATATACATTTTATTTTCATTCTTATCGGTTTTTTTTGTATTATTTTTACTTGCTCGAAACAAAGTATAATAAATAGTTAATACTTTTTTTTTCTTTATGCCGTGTAGTCTTCATTCGTTTGCACCATGCCTGAATCAATTCATATTGATAAAAGTGGTACGAAATCACAAAAATATGATCAGTTACTGTCAGAAATAACGAGTCTTGTACAACATGAAACAGATTTAATTGCAAATTTGGCAAATATTACAGCTGTTCTAAAAGAAGTATTTAATTTTTGGTGGGTGGGATTTTATTTGGTCAAAGATAATTCCTTAGTATTAGGACCATTTCAAGTAAGACTAATAGTCAACAATATAATATAAGATAAATATGTCGTAAACTTTAGGGTCCTTTAGCATGTACAAGAATTCAATTAAATAAAGGTGTTTGTGGTACATCCTGGTCAAAAAATGAAACAATTATTGTTGAAAATGTTGATAAATTTCCTGGTCATATAGGTATTTTAAAATTTTAATTATTTAGTTGAATTTTTTTTTTAAATATAACTCGACATCGTAAACACTGTTCGTCTATTTATTTTTAGCGTGTAGTTCAGCATCCAAATCAGAAATTGTGATACCCATTAGAAACGTACAAAATAGAAATGTCTTGGGTGTACTTGACATAGATAGTGAACATTTAGCCTATTTTGATGACATTGACAAGGTTGCTTTGGAAAAACTAGTACAACAATGTGTTGAACCATGTTTTACGAAATGAAGATGTGTTATATGATACGATATTTGATATAAACATTAGTAAATTGCAATGTTTAATCGGCTGAAATGAAACAATTATCATACGGAGATCAATTCATTTATGAACGTAAACAAACGAGATACACTCATTCGTAAATCCTAATCGTTACTGTCACTTTTCTCTGTCTAAGTTTACCTTTTTTAATGGAATAGAAAAAGGAAGACTGTTGTTATAGTTGGCAAATTATTGTTAAAGACTTCTGCTTTTGAAAATGTCATTTTGATGATGGGAGAGTGTACAGAACAGAAACAAAAATATGTCCTTGATTTTTTACAGAGACTTCTTATTCAATTTCTCTCTCTCTCTCTCTCTTAGAAAAATATGGAAAAGTGTCTAGTAGTACGAGAGTTTAAATGGCACCAAACCAAATAATCATTAATAATAATAGTATACTTATGGTTATTCTGTTTGCGGTAATATTTTGACGAGATTTTTTTAATGTTACGCTTATTGTATTGTTTCATTAAAAAAAGAGATTTTTTTTTTTTTTGAATATATGAACGAAGAATAAACCTCTCCCTTATAGTTTTTGTTTTTTTATTCGTATAACAGTGGCTTTTGACAGTATAGTAAAGAACTATCGATATAAGACAGTAAGAATAGTTGTTTCCTATTTTCTCTTTTTTTCCTCTTATTCTTATAATTGTTAAACAATAAATATACGGAAGAGAAAAAGAAAACATTATATGATGATGTTTTAAATAGATCTAGTTATTTTCCATGGAATAAATATAAAAAAAAAGCGAACCTTATATTTTCAATGTATATTGTGTATGTGTGAATAGAGTTAATCAAAATTGATAAATCAAACGTTTTCTCTCTATTTGCACTTCTTACACTGATATAAAAACAAGTTTTTCCTGGTAGTATTAAAGTGTTCTCAACTCGTACTTATAAAAACTAATTAATAAAACTCGTTTCACGTTCTTTTTCAATATCTTAAAAAATTGAACAGAATGAAATTTAACTCTTTATTTCTAATAATGACATTGTGATTTATAAAAAAAAAGAAACTGGAGATCAATAATAAATGGTGGCAATTGTTTAATACTGAACGTCAACAATACGCGTGAAAGTAAGACTATTTTTAAAATGTTTAAATTTGTTCAATCGTCTTCTCTATTAAATGATTTTTCTTTTTTAAAGAAAGTCAATGTTTTATAATTTATTCTATTCTATCAATTATCAAAATTGTAGTGAATAAGAGTATCGAGGGAAAAAAAAGAGAAATTATACCTGATAGAAAATTTCGTAGATCACGATATAAATTGTCAGTTTTTCCAAGGTATAAACTACAGTACAACGATCCATTTTATCTATAATAAAAGATTTTCATCACTTCTCTGACGTTTTTTGTTGTTAACAGGTGTACAAACGTCCAACGTTGAGCTGCACACAAAACATATCTACCATATAATCTAGTTTTTGTTTGTAACAGCGTTTTTAGAGCGAAAAAAATCTACAGTCTTTCACTTTGTAAAAAATTTTACAACGAATAAATGAGTTCAGCAAATCTTATTGAAAACAATTACCTTTCCAGATTATTGTTTAAAAAATGATCAAAAAAATAAACAAAAACTAAATATTTATTTTGTCAGCTTTTCACGCTCGTTCGAACCAGCATATCGAAAAAAGTGTTTATACTGAGTAAAAATTTAGGATATGATGAAAGTTGGAAGACTCGAAGTAGACTGATGCAGTGAGTAAAAAAGTTGAATAAACTTTCTTGCTGAAATGTAGCTGAACAAAACAGTGATCCTGTCACTCAACACTAATTAAAGAGTCAAAAAAAGTAAAATTATGAAATAATATGATCACAGCTTTTTCCTTCTTGAAAATAGATCAAGATTTTGCTGTTGCATTCTGCTTTTTCGAGTTTGAAGTTGAGTTTATTTTTACCAAATAACTTAGGTGAAACTCGGATCCCGAAAACTTCGTCTCGTTGAAAAGCCAGACGATGATCAAGATTTTATTAACGAAGGGGGAGAGACCATGATTATTTTTACCATCACTATATAAACAGAATCTAAGAAAGCTAATAAGGTTAGTTCATTGTTGTTGATCTGTGAAAACGGAAGAACGCTCATGATCACTATTTCACGTCAGGATTATAGAGTTGCTGTGTTAACAACATAATGCTTGATCTGCAACATTGATTTTTTTATTCTTTTCTCTTTTTTTTCTTTCTTTTTGTTATGAGTTTATTATTATATTATATTTAAAATGGCTTGTCAATCATTTTTGATTGGAATAAAAAATACTTATTGATGAAAAAGACATCCACGAACGAGATAGAATGACAGAAGATTATATTTTTATACTCTTACAATTTATTACAAATATAGTTATATGATGTAAGCTCTCTATACGCCTTTTCTTATTGTGATGAGAGGGATGTTTAGCGTAGTCTGATAACTATAATTCTACGATCATCATTAAAACAGGTTAGCAACAATACATGACATTGTATCGTGATTTGAAAGTATGAGAATAGTATTCTAGACTGATTACCCTGGAGTTCATTCATTTTCAACATTTTCATATTAAAACCCAATTCATCTGACACTATTATAAATCATCTAGAGTTGAGACAATTTGATATCTGCTACGTCAAGTGAAAGTATTTAATTCTAAGCTAACTTTAATTCAGTGTAAAACTGATCTGATCTCAAATAGTATCTCTCTTCTATTAATATATTTTGCTTAGAAAACGTTTCTCAAAATTTATCAATCGAGATGATATTAGCGAGTAATTTTAAAAAAACTTCATGTTAATTCATATTTTCTTGTTTAAAATAATAAATATCTTTCTTTTCAATAGGACTATGATTTTTTCGTTTATAAATTTTTTTCTTCTTGATTTTTTTATCCTGCTTATTTTCTAATTGTCGTTTATTTGCTTTAATACCAAAATATGATGACGAGTTTCATACTGTGAACAACACACATTTGCTAGCTAATTTCAAATGAATTTTCGATTATTTTTTTTCATCTTCTTTTGAATTTATAAACTGTGGTTTAATCAAAAAACTTTGTTGCATACACACACACACACATGAAATAACAAGTCTGAATATTCTTTTAACGTCTAAAAACACGAAATTTTCAAATAATTAACATTAGTTTAATTATAATGATTTTAAATAATTCTAAAGAAAAATATTGATAATATGAAAAATTGATATGGATTGACTTGTTTTTCTTTAAGTGTATGCAAACTAATAGAAAATTAAGTTATATCAGTATTAACTTCCATTGGCAATGGTAATGTGTGACTGATCTATTTTAGTCGATAGATGATTCGAACTTCGTATTATTTGTGTACATTAATTGTTATTGAAGTAGTTAAATATGTGAATTCTCATCAACAAGGAAATCCAAATTCTGATCCTTATCATTCACCACAGCCTGTTCAAGAACAACAACAACAACTTCAGGCTTATGACTATTCTCCTTATAATTACAATAATCCTCAATCATCTTCTTCTTTTGGCAAACGAAATCCAGATAGTAATCGATATTATCCAAATTTAAATTCGCAAAAATCATCATCAAGAACTCCAGAAAACTATTATACAAATCCTGAGAATCCACCTGCGCGTTCAACATCACAGTGCAAGTTACACATCAACTGTCCAAGTAAGAACATTTTCATTAATAAATTCTATTCTAAATTAATTCATCATCTTACATTTAGATGCAAGAAATCGCGTCACCTTAGATATTCAGGGACCCGCAGGTGAGAACTATTTGTACATTATTGTTTTTCATTTCTCTAGTCTACTTTTCTTTCTCTTACAGGTCCACCGGGTCCACCAGGAAAACAAGGATTACAGGGACCTTCGGGACCTCCCGGTTTGCCTGGACCAAGAGGTGATCGAATTTGAATCTCATCAATTTTTAATGATTGAACACTTTACCTCTGTTTAGGTCGAGATGGTTACGTTGGAGTTAAATCTGCCTTTTTTGCCGCCTTAAACGGAACATTTGTTTTACAAGGCGATACAGCCATCATTGTATGGGATGAAATAATACTGAATTATAACGATCATTTAAACAAAACAGCTGGAATTTATTTTGCACCTATTACTGGTTTGTACGAGTTTAGTCTAACCGTATGTGCTCCAGCTAATTATATTGTAAGTTCACATTATTTAAAAGAAAGGTGAGTAAATAACATTATTTTATTCATATGTGTATTTTTAGGCAAGTGTATCTTTATGTAAGAATAGTGAAAATGTCATTCCGTTATGGGTTGAGGGATATTTAACGACCATTAAAAATCAAAAAGTGCCTGTGTGGAATACAGCATCTACAACTGTTGTATTGTATTTGAATAAAGGTGATCGAATTTATGTACGTGCACAATCACGATCTGACGATGATTATAATTTCAAAACACATTTGTACGGTTGGAAATATTCGACATTTGGAGGTTACTTGATACATGAAGAACTTTAGATTTCAAATATAAAAAGTCTGTTAATTTTTAATAAAACAATTTTTATCTTTGATAATATATTTTTCACTATTATTTTATTTATTATTAGATATTTGAGACGTATATCTGTGTGCTTAGTCCAGCTGAATAGTGTAGATTGGACATGTGTCACATTCAGTTATCTTCTAAATTACAGTTTGTTATGAGAAATTTCCCTTTTTTTCAGTATATGGTACCTTATAGTGTTTCCGTTACATGTGCTTTATTCTATTTTCTTTTTTGTAAATTTTTTGTTATGTAAAGTATAATACAGTGGCAATCTTTTCAATTCTTGAGTTTGATAACAGATCTTGAAATATTTCCAATAGCTACAGGCTAGCAAAGCCAATTTTAGCAAAATATTCCTTGTATAGAGGAGAAATTAAATTTTAGGAACAGGATTACGATTGTACAGCTACATATGTACGTGTTGGTACACTGCCATCATTCACATGATGGTATTAAGCATAATGTTAATAAATGTTAAGTTAGAGAAAATTTTGGCTAAAATAAAAACGGTTTTGTCTTCTGTCATGTTTAAAAGCTATTCATTCAGTATATAACGAAAACTATTGGGTTGTGTATTCATCTCGTTTCCTATAATGATTTCTGAAAAAAAAATGCATGAGTCCATGTCAAGGATGAATGGCTGCAGAAAATAGATCTCTTCTCTTTTGAAAATATGTTATTTCTTCCAAAAAAATTGATAGATAAAAAGAAGGCTACTGTTTATGATATATCCCCATGTAAAAAATCAACCAAGCCCTGTGAACATAGTTTTGCATAATTTTTCAAAAATAACCATACATTGACGCAAATTATGCATAATTCATAGAACCATATGCATAAAAGAGTCCTTTGCGTGGTTATGTATAAAAGTTTTGTTATGCATACTGGTACATAGGACTTTTTTTATCTATAGGGAAGCTATCCTATGATTAGCCCATGATTTTCGTTATAAAAATGCTACTCATTCTGTGCATAATGCAATCTAGATTGTAACGGCACTTATGTATAATTCAACTCTTTTATTATGTAAAACTATGTACATAGGACCTGTCTGATTTTTTTACACGGGTCTACAGCAAGTCCGGAGCCGTAGTTGGAGCATGAACCACACAAATGTTACAACATGTGTTCCTATAAAAAATGTTTTTTAAAAATTAAATAATTCAAGAACTAAAAATACAAAATCATTTGCATTGACAAAGGCACTATTGAAAGAGAATGTGAATTTAAATAGTCAATCACAAAATCTCTTTAAATAATGCTTTCGCTCAATTGCGGAAAATAATCGATTTATTCTTCATGTTGAACGTATTTCTAAAACACAAAACAGAATATCTTGCGCTGAAACCAAGTTTTTGTATTTGTGATGATAATTCAGAAAATGTATGTACGATTTTCTATTTCTTTTATACGCATATATGTATGAATTTATAGTATAAGCTCATTAAAATCAAACATAAATTGTATACAGTTTACGGGGACATATTGACTGAATTCATTCAACCGTTGAAAATGACAGAGAAAAGGAAAATATTTTTCTCTATTGATAACGTAAAAAAATAACGTCTTAGTCTCCTTGTATCAAAACAAGATGTTCAGAGAAACAAATTAATAACATAAAATTGTTCGCACAACTTTATCGAAGATTCAACGTCATTTCTCGATAGATGAGATATTTGGCTAACTACAAAATCTTCTTTTCACAATGGAAAATGAAATGTATGATAACCCAAGTATCCTTGAAAATCTTATTTGCCATATGCATGGTACTAATGTAAGGAAACTACATGCATGCAAGAGATGTCATAATAACAGTAGATATCATACTGTTACTTCTTTTTTTCTGTGCAGTATAACCTTAGTTTTACAGATGGCTTTTTTGATCTGTCTCTTTGCAACTGTTGAAGAGCAAATTGACTATTTCATCCGGTACGAAGTCCTGCAGAATATAAGATGACTTTCACATGTGCATAAGTAGTGTGATGCTTACCTGAATTGTCAACACATTATTAAATTTTGTTGAACTGGTTGGATCAAACATATGAAAAATGAGTATCATCCTCGTCATATGATTTCACAAAAATGAAGAAAAACAAGACAATAATAATAATGGCCTACAACTTAGTTATCGAAGTGTAGTCTAGTTTTGAATTATGTTCAAAAAGCGTATATTTAGGCCTCATATTTATACGCGATATATAAGATATTGATCTCTCTCTATATATATCTCCCATTAAAACGTACATCTGTCTATAATCATGTTACGCTTACGTGTGCATTGTTCGCTCACACAAACAAGAAGAAGAAGAGACGGGAGAATAATTTCATGTTTAAACCACTATTCCCAATTTTCTTCTTCGTCATTTTATCATATTCATTCAACCATGATCATTTCTCTCTTTCCTCTGTTATTATTATCTCACTCATGCTAATGATGGTGGTTGTTTAAAATCCTTTTGACGTTCTTCTCCTTTATACCACCCTCTCATTTTATTCAAAACTCATTCTTCTATCCATTTATTATAATCGATGAGTTATATATTGTCTCTGTTTGTCTTCATTAGCTTCCTATTTAGTCGGTCATTTTATTTTGGTGTTTATACATTCATATTTCACCTTTTCGCTATATCACATCCATCATAGACAAAAAAATATTGTTTTTTTATGTTTTCAAAATGATTCTATTTTTTTTCTTCCTCTCTCTTTCGTTTTCAAAAATTTTTGAATCGAATAGGTGAAGCGACACACATTTGAATTCGTGAAACGAATAGTATCACTTTTTAATAGATAGTAATCTGTGTCATGTTGATTGATCATCTGTTTGATAGTACATTTCCCATCCTTTCACCATTCCCACGTATATTATATATCAAAATTGTTAGAGAAAAGGAAATTTTCCCCATAGGGGGATTTTATAACGGTTTTTTTCATCACACCGTTATTATCATGTTGACTAAACGATCCAATATTCAAACATCAATAATCAATGAAAAAATTTTAGTTTTATAACTCCATTCTAATTTTCAATTGTTCAAGAAACTTTTCTTGTATCTTCTTATCGAATTATGAGATATTTGTACAAAGTTTTAACGTTTTAAGTTTAACGTTTAACGCTTCAATTAGCTGCATTATACTGAAAATAAAAACCTATAAAGAAAAGCGTGAACCAATTTTGACTGCTGGAATAACATTGAGGTGTACAGGATTGACGATGGGTTATTGGAATCTGTGTTGTACCTGTAAATTCACGAGTTTATCACTTAGCGCTACTTTTGTTTCATGATGCATGCGAATTCTGTAGTATATATCATACACAAAAGGGTTTACATTTAAATCTAATCAAAAGAAACTTGATGGTGATCAAGCAAGCAACTCTAGTGATTCGTTCATAGACAGACGGTCATTTGAAGAACCAGATGACGTTGTTCAATCCCACGAAAGACAATACATGGCATACTATCTGGTAGTGAATTTTAAACATTCGTGTACAGCCACAATATTCGAACGTGTTCATACTATCTGCTGATAGATAAACATTAAATGGATTAGTGAAAAAATCAACATATGTAAGTTAAACAATGATGTGAAACGTGAGGATTCCAATTAAGATATATTAAAACGAGACCACGATGTGACCATTGTGTCAATATACAGTAAAAATGTTGATTCGCATTTGAAACAGATCGCGTGAGAGTGATCGGCAATTATACCCCTAGAAATCCCCTTTAAAATTTAAACTTCAGGTGAATTTTTCAACTTGCTAATTTTTTTAGACTATTGCTACTCTTCCTAGATGGTTCATCGCAGGATCTTAGATTTTTTTTGTTTTGCCGCGATGACCTTTATCTAAAAACTGCCGGCAGCGATTTTTGAACTTATTTTCCAGAGCCGAGAAAATTGGAAATTACTACCCCGGATTTCGGGGTTATTTCGGAATTTTGACTTAAAATGTGTGTAGACAATGAACAGAAACGAATTTGAAAAATTCCTGTGGGCAATTTATATATGAGTCTTGGCTAAACAAAAAAACTTAAAGTCCTGCGATAAAGCCTCCTGCTGGGAGCCCTTTTTGCCCTTCGAGATAACAAAATAATGATATTGAAAATTATTATATTTAATATGTATGTGGCTATAGAAATCGTATAATGATTTATAGAAAAATAATCAATACTACCATGCTTCGAACATGTTGATGCCCAAATAAAATGAAGACAAAATGGAATTTGTTTTATTCGATATTACTTACATCGTGATCATCTATTTCGTATGAGGAGGAAGGATTGTATAGATCGAGTAACCCGTGATGTATTCAGAAATAGTGGACTTCTCACCAACAAGACCGGTTCGTCATTTCATTACACGGAACCGTCTTCTTAAGCTGAACTTTCGTCCGTTCGACTTTTTTGTGTCGATATTGTACTTGGCTTATGTTAGTTTTTGTTATTACCATCTTTTCATGTGTGGACGTTCGAAACTCGCTGTTAGTACATACTGTATTGTCAAACTCTTTTAGTGTATTCACAAGTTCTCTCATGAATCAAATATAAATGCGTAAAAGTAAGTCTCGAAAGGAGACTTCTTATTTTTCATTAAAAATAATTTTCTTACTTATACACATTTTTCTCTTTCGAGTCAGTCACTTGTTCTGGATTAAATATAATCAGACAACCGTTAAAGAATCGCAGTATCTTTTCCTCAAATATGTGCAGTCAGGCATACTAGTCATAGTTCTTCCAGTAATCAATTTTTTCCCAAAAAAATAAAGAAGTTTGATTTTGTATCTAGTTTATTTAATCGATCTACTATACCCATTTTATGTACAAACAATAAAAATTCCTTAAATTTGACTACAAAGGATAAATAGTAAAATATTTTACATATGACATTGCAAAAATCGAATAGTATTATCTTGTATAAATCAGGCAGCTTGTTTTTGTAGACTACCTTCAGCTGTTATTTCTGCTAACATATCAAGTAAAACTTCAATTTTTACTTTTAAAATATTATTTTCTTCTTCTAAATCACGTTTTTGTTTTTCAAGTTTAACAACTTCACGTGAACTTGTTCCAACTGTACCTTCTTGAAAATAAAAAAGTAAATATCATCACAATAAACTAGAACCAGGTGACTATATCCACATACCTGATTGCCATTCACCCAGTTCTGTGTTATAACCCAATTTTTGATTTCCAATTCTTGCATCAATATTTGTATATTGAAGACCTATATAAAATATACTTCAAAAATTAGTAGTGAATAGTGTACCCACTATTAACAGAGAAAAATTAGACATCAACAATAACGTTTAACGAGTAAATTTACTAAACAAAACTTTGTTTTATCGCACCTAATTCACGAGCGAATTCTTCAGCTGGTAATTTAATAGGAGATCGAGAAATAAATTTTCTCGGTTTTGTTTTTCGAATTGAAAATGAACCTTTTAAAAATGACATCTGAAATAAAATTTAAATTTAAATACAAAACTTCGTTAATGAAAAGATCGTCATGAAGTTCAATGAACAGTTTCGAGTACATTATATAAGTAGATCTATTGCTTGCGCATAAAATTCAACAACAACAGAACGTTAAAAAACAACAATTAATAATGTTTAATAGAACTAAAGTCACTTTTATTATTTCAAACTAATTGGTAAATATAATATCTCAATTGCTTTTCCATACGGAACTGGATTTGTGATATCGTCGATTAAAAAAACATATTTTGCAGTATCTAAATAAATGATCAAAGAGATAACTAAAATATCGTTCGTTCCATTCAATTCATACCAAGTTCTGGTTGATCTGTGGGTGATTGTCTTCGACTATCTGCACCTGCATCGACAGATTCATCCGTATTGAGAGACCTTAACAAATAAAACCTGAAAGTTCTCTATATTGAAAAAAATCAAATCATCAAATTTTGACGTTACACAATATTTGCACTCAACGCATTATAGCAGACAGTGGTTGTTTCAAATCACAAAACACTTACGATTCTTTCACTTTTGGTACAAAAAATGTATTGAGATATAATCCGGTAAATACTGCTTGACCATTTTGTTCGACTGCTAAGATTGAGTCATTTGTCTCTCCTGAAATAACATAAATAAGACTAATTTAGTAAAGAACATATGCGCAATCTTATTGGTTTTCGGTTCACAATGTACCTAGAATAAACACCTACCAACTGTACTGTTCTCATGATCTTGCATATCATTATTATTTTGTTTTTCAACAATATCAACATGATATCCACTATAAAAAAATGATAAAGTGAATTTTAGTTTTCATAAATTGTCCAGATACTTACAACGGCGTCGGAATGCTGTCTACAGTAGCTTCCTTGCATTGTTTACCACAGCGTAATCGAATCAGACGTCCATTTTCACTTTTCAAAATACGATTTGACAAATCAACAATGATAATTGTTATTGTTAATGGTTCCTCATTTTCATTGAATGTTATGCTTTTTAAAGATACATTCTCAGTATCTTTAGTCGTTAATCGGAAAGGCCAACCAGACGGTAAACCATTCATAAATAAACCACGATAAATGTATCCATCTAGTTGTGTAGAAACACCGGTTCCGTGAAATAAATCGTTTCTCCATTGACCCTAAACAAATAAATATAATATTTGATTATGCAATTAAATAGTAATTATTAATGGTAAAAATTTTACTATGAAAAGAAAACAAAAGCAAAAAATTGTCCTGTAAAACACGTCAAGAAAAGAGGTTTTAGTGAATTAAACTGCAGTAGTACTAGAAGATGCTGCTCATCAGCGAACAAACTGTTTAGATATTTTTTTCTAATTACTTCATAAACGAAGCCATCTGGTCTTGTCAGTTTTCCATGACCGTGTCTCTTGTCTGCCAACCAATCACCGTCGTATTTACTATTATCTGAATAAGTTTGAATACCTTGTCCATGCCGTAAATTATCATGCCATACACCATTATAAAGTTCTTTTTTTGAACTCAAAAAACTTCCTTCACCTTCTCGTTTATTACATTTAAATTCACCCTCAAAACAATCCCCGTTACCATATCGTAAGCGACCATGTCCGTCCATTTCTCCTACAAATAAGCATATATCATATGATTTCCATTTCAAATCCTAAAATATAACCTCATTACCATAGTAAAAGTGTCCAACATACGTATTTCGCGTTGTTGCAAAGTATCGTGTACCCTGGCCTATTATTTCTCCATCAGAAAATTCTCCTTGATAATAGGATCCATCATTCATCAACAATTTCCCATAACCTTTAAAAAGACATCTCATCTAAACCATCAGATTGTTCAAGGACACAATAGATGAATACCATGCTTCTTTCCCTTTTTCCATGTTCCTTCATAGCGAAAAAATGGATTCGAATACCGATATACACCAAAACCTAAATCGCAACGACAAATTAGTACAAGACCACTTTATGCGAACACCATTAGAAAAAACTCTCACCAGATCTTAAATTTTGATGTGTTTCACCATGATACGTTGCTTGAAGTTTTGACCGTTCGTTACGTTTTATCATCTAAAAGGATTAGATAAAAGTCATCAGTCCAAAACGAAATGATTGGGAATTGACTGAACTCAACACGAAGCGGATACGACTACCATAAGAGTGATGGTTGTTATGGTGTGATCAGTTAGATATGCTACTTAAAGACCGTCGATATTTCCAAATGATCTTAATGTGACGCTTGAGATTTCTAAAGAGAAAAGTATTTTTTCAAACTTCTGGTGAGGAATATTTTTGGTAACACCTATTTTCATTGGTCTACACAACTGTTCAATACGAAGGTAAGTGAGTCACAGAAAAGAAAGCGAAAACCACATACGCCTTGCACTGTGCAAATCGTAGAATTAACTTTTTTTACTGGAAGCCACCACTTCGTGTTGTGTGTAGTAATGCCCACAAACAAAAGTGTTTGGGAAAGCTGGATGTACAACTTCGCCAGTATCGCTACATTGTAAAAAAAAGTAACGGCAAAAACATAAAAAGTCATAGTAAAAACTTGGCATCATGAAAACCAATGTCATGTTTTAACTGTGACTTTATATATATTTTGTTATAGGCACCACCCCCGGTGCTTCCCGGAAATGAAAATCAAAAGTTTTTCGATTTTTGGTTTTTTATTGAGACATATACTCTGAAGTGTCTACTTTCATAATCTGTATCGCTTTCGGTTCTAGAAGTGACTTTTCGTGGTTTTCGAGCAAGTTTTCTAGGAGCCTCGACAAACAGACTCTTCAGATAATATTCTTTTCCTGGATGATTATGCAATTGAACTTTTTTTCTAAACATGTATATTTGTAGAGCGGACTTTTCTCACCAAAATAAGACGTTGCACAGCCATGTTTGATCTTACGTCAAAAAGCTACAAGCATTTTCCTGCAAGTCTCAGAGTGGATCAACCAATACACAGCATTTTCTCTCAAAATCAAGTTTTGAACAGAAAAATCGAAGTTTTCCCCCTTTTTCTCCAAGACGCCTCGGTCAATTGAGCTGAAATTTTTTGTGAGACAACTAGGACCAAATCGGGATGTGTATCTTTTTTCTTTTCTTGAAATAATGTTCTGGTGATTATTGGCAGGTCTTACATAATTTGCTCTAGGCAAAAAAACACGTTTTTTGATAGTGCTTTCAGTATTTTGGTTCCCCAAGCGAAGGAAACTATTTTTCAAAAAGAAAAAAAAACACACACCCAGCTTTGGTCCTAGTTGCTACAAAAAAAAATCAGCCATAAAAAATGAAGTCCGGCTGTTTGCGGGGGGGGGGGGGGAAATTGGGCCCCGGGACAACGTTTTGGGCACAAGGGCGCCGGAATGGACCCGCG